CCTGGGTCTCCTCATTCTGTCTGTGGGCATAAACATTTGCAGTCCATAATGTTTCATGTTCCTCGTTGCTTAGGAAAAATAAACATTTTCCTTTTTTTGTTGCCAACAACTACCACCAAATAATCCGGAAACAAACTGTCAGGCCCCAGGAGGTAGTGCGTGATGGTGCCACGGAGTATGGGAAGTGAGCAGAGAGGAACCTCCAACTGTGTATGCACGGCCAGGCATTGCGGCACCTCCCGTTTGGCCTCGGACCGTGCGTTCCCCCGGGCTTTGTCTGCAGCGGGACGGGCTGCAGCCCAGCATGAAGAAGCCAGTCCTGTAGCAGAAGTGTTTTGTGTAAGCAAAGATTTCGTAGTTAGAGGGATGGGGAGACTCCGCCTTGTTCTGGGGGAAGTAGGATCAATAAACCCGGTGCCTTTGCCTAGGCATTGTTTCCACCGAGTTTCCATTGTTTCCACTAACAGTGTCTTGACCCGGAGCACGCTTAGCTCAAGGTCTGACCGGACCACAAACAAACTCTCTTTCTGCCATGAAATTTCAGCTGCAGCATTAGCACCTTCTGAGACCAGTCATCTTCTGAGACACAACCTGACCGGAGCAGAGCTAGCTCCAGTTTTACCGCTAACCATCAGCTGTAGCTGCACTTTCAAATCCAACCCCTGCAAATCCATGCTGGGCTGGGAGGCAGGCTGGCCAAAAAGCCATCCATACTACTCTGTGCATCAGGACAACAGTGCTGGTCTCGGGCAGGAACACTGCTGCAGCCTGTTAAGAGGGTGCAGAGCCCCTCGGGGGCACAGCCACCCCACAGTGGACAGAAATGGGGTGAGAGAACTGTCTTACATGAGAACTGCAGGAGAAAGCATCTCTGCTCTCCTTCCCCACGCACTGAACTAAGGGCAGGAGTGCTCCAAGGTGCAGGCTCGTAGGTGGGAGGAGGATAATGCTGCTAGCCAAAGAGGCAGCAAACACCAGGGCCTTGCCAAATACTCTGAGTAACAGGAGAAAGCAGTGAGATGTGGAAAAGCAGCAGCAGAAGGGACAGGGAGGTGGGGAGAACACCCATGAGCTCGTCACCTAGCAGAAGAGGGAAGAGCCCCCGTGGCAGGGGAAGTATCCAAGACTGATGGGATTCACGTTGTAACTTGTCCAGTTGCTCCCGTCTGACGGGGAGGGGGGGTCTCCTTTCATGTCCATGCAGCCCAGGTAATTCGGCACATGACAGAGGAGACAAGTGTCAGTTCAGGGCAGGCAGCAGAGGATGGACCCAGGCAGAGGAGAGCGCGGGGTTTGTCAGTGCCAGGCACTGGCCTCCGCCCCTGAGGTTTTATATGCACAACGTGGCTAATACTCCACTGTAGCTGTGCTGCTCCGGCTGCTTCTCCTCCTGGGAGGCTCTGGAGGGCGAGTGCTGCCCAACACAATGAGGTTAAAGATGTTCCTGGCTCCTCGGGATGGCTGGGACACTTCCTGGGAAGCTTGGCTGGTGTTCGTCTGCCCCCAGCAGACCCCGAAGTGATGGCTGCTGTATCACAGCACTTGAGGGCTGATAAAGCTGTGAGGACTGCACACCTCGGCTGTGGTTTCTACGCTCCCATGGGATCTGTCCTTTCCCTCCTGTCCCCCACCTCAGCCTTTCGGGCACGAGGCTGCTAGGAAGAGGCACTTTCTTTGCGAGGGGCTGTGGGCAGCCTGCAGCACAGCCCTCTCTGCGTATGGCTTTGCTCCTCTGCTGTCCTTGCTGCCCTTGACCCTTGGTTTCAGGCCTGGCAGCCCCTCTGCACTCGTGTTGTGCAGACATTTTGCTGCTCGGTCTCTATTGCAAAGCCCTGGCCTCTTACCTTGGCTAGAAGCTGTCTGTTCCCATGCGGAGTGGCCAGCGGAGGGTTCTACTGTGACGGGCAGTGGAAGTGGCTTCGCACAGCGTTAGCCAGGGGCTCAGGTCCGGCTCGGCTCACAGCTGGTCCGAACCCCTGCCCTGGCTTGCAGAGACTTTCCTTTGCCTTTGGTCTTTGGTAATCCTTTCCCCTCTGGTGATGGGATGGGAGAAGTGGGGATGCTTTGATAGCCAGTGCCCTCCTCATCCTCTCTCCACTGGCTTCAGCAGCAGCACAGCCCTAAGCAAACCCCTAAGCTTACTGCTGGGGCGTTACACCACCGCTCAGGAGAACAAAGCAGGGTGTCCCCAAGAGAGGGTGGCTTCAGCGCTGGGTGGGAAGGATGCAACCTTAAGCGAGAGGACGCATTATCTAAGCCTTGGGAAGTGCCTGCAGCGAGGTGTGTCCGGCCAAGGAGACCAAAATCTCCAGCCTGACGCGTCTCCTGAGCATTGTTTGGCAAGTGGTTGCTGCCCGTCACATTTCCCCTTGCCGGCTGCGCCTGCAGTGGCATTTTCCAGCCCTTTCCTGCCGCGGTGCTAATGCCGGCGCAGTGACGGCAGGGAGAGACTGGCTGTTTGTGCAGGGGCACAGCGAGCGCGCGGGGCAGCGGGGCAGGTCTCGCCTCCTGCCTCCACCCAGAGCTGCTCGCAGGGCCACGCTGTGTCCCCTCCCAGCGCCGGGGCACGGCAGAGGGCAGGCAGGCGGGAGCAGGGAGGGTCCTGCCTAAGGCACGGTGGGGTTTGGATGTCTGGAAGCTGGGGTTCGTATCAGTGGCCTTGAGCTAACCAAAGAGGAGGGAGAAAACCTACCTCTGGTCTGCTTCTGAACATGGGATCCCTTGGGGCAAGAAGGAAACAGGCAGTTCTTCCTCTCTCTGCTCCTGCTTGGAGGACAGCGATAATCTTCAGTTTATGTCGGTGCCCCCAGCCAGGAAGGAAATGACCGGCCTCCCTGGCAGACTGGGGGAATGTGCTTAGCATAGCCAAGACAAAAAACCAGGAGTAAGCCCACCTGTGTCAGCCTCAGCCCACGCACTTAGCTGGGCAACTCCTGAGGGTTTCCCAGTGCTCCCAGTTCCACAAGCAAGGGCTCTCCCCAGGGTCCATCTCCACTCTCCCCATGCGACTCAGAGCAGCTGTCCTGCACCCCCTGGTCCTGGGAAACCAGACACATCCGTCACCCCACGTCCTCAGGCAGCAGGACCCACCTCTGGTGGCAGTGGGTGCTCTTGAGCGCACCCAGGAGCAAGGAGCCAAGCGTCTCTCCAGGCTGGTCTTTGGTGACCCAGCTGCCATGACGTGCTTGGCAGAGGCTCACATCGGGGCTGGCAGCAAGATGTGGGCCAGGACATGAACCTCTCGGCTCCTCCTGCCAGCTGTCCTTCGCGGGCGCCAGCTGCCAGCCCAAGCAGGGTGCCAGGCAGCTCTTGGAGAGCTCCTCTTGGGCAGACGGGTACCTCCGACCTGGCAGCCTGGTGCCGACTCCCCTGGGACAGGCCGACCCATGCGCCTGCTTCCACGAAAGCACTGGAGGGATTCCCAGTGCCATGGCTGACGCGTTGGGTAGGCTAAGCTGTTCAGGATGTAAAATGGCTTTCCCTCTTGATGTGTTGATGGTGTGGTTCCCGTGGTGTGTGAAAGTGCACTGGCACACAGGATTGGGTTGCTGGTTTCTAAGGCAAAGGCTGTCAGGTGCCAAGCCACCAAGGGTGTCTGGCTGGCTGGGGAGGACAAGACAGACACACGAAGAGCCGGACACCTAAACTGCACCTTGTGTGACCTCCCAGGCTCCTGTGTCCATCTGTGCGTCGCTCGGAGGCACGGGGCCATTACAGAGTCAGGAGCTCGGTAGCAGAATTAGTGCCAAGGGCTTCACACTTCATTCCGGCCCGCGTGAATGGGTTCATTGTCGGGAGCAGCGCGGCGGCAGCACGCGGATTACATGGCATCATGGCAGCCCTGGCAGCACGCCAGCCTGACCTTCGTGTCCCCGGCGGGGCAGCCAGGAGGGCTGGCCTGGAGGAAGGCGGCTCTTTGCAGGGGAAGGAAGGGGACCTCTCAAGCCCAGGTCTTCACTCTGGAGCGGGACAGAGCCTGCCTGTCTGAGCAGAGATGCGTCACTGCGGCATCCCAGGTCCTCCTGCTGCTCAAACATCTTTAAATTTGCCTGCACAGAATCAGGAAAAAAAATTCTGCATTTGGACCTGTGGCTTGTGCAGCGTGGTGATGCAGGGAGCAAGGGCCTCTCACCCCCGTGCCTGACAGCGGGCCGGGGATTACCCTTGGGTCATGTTTCATGGTGGCCCCATAGTCCTGCTGTCAGGTGGGAAACCAATGGAAGTCAGATAATTAGCACTAATTAACGTTGCTGAGAGGAACCATGCTTTTCCAACTAAGTGTGGGAGAGCCTGGGTGATCCCCAGGCAGAGTCACGGGCACAGGGAGGCCAGGGGTATGATCCTGTCCATCCCTTGGCGGAACCAGTGACCTCAGGCAGGGATAGGGGCTTCAGGGACGGTCACTGCTGCTCTCTGCCCCATGGGCTGGGCTCCACGTCACCCCCCACATCCATGTGTGCTGCTCTGCAGCTTGCGCTGTCCCCAGCCACGCTGAGAGCCTGCTCCCCACGCCAGGACAGCAAGGGGACACCATGGGAGCAACAACAGGGAGCAAAACCGCGCTGGGGACTAAAGGCTTCGTCCCAGTAGTATCACCTCTACACGGGGCCAGGAGGGAATAAAGGATGTGGGGCGAAGGGGGAGAATTTACTCCCTGGTGATTTGTTTCATTCTTGAAGGGTCTGGTTCTCATCCACAGTTTGCACAAGCATTTCCTGCCGGCCAGCTGCCAAGGGAAAACGGGCCAAAAATAGCCCAGTGCTTAGGAGGTGCCATGGCATGACACAGTGCCTCCCAGGTGTGACCCGGCTGGCAGCAGCCGAGCCCAGGGAACGGAGGGTGTTTGTGGGGAGCAGCTGGTGCCCCAGCAGCAGGGGAACAGCCCTAAGCCGAGGTGGAGCTCACCGCTGCGG